GATACAGGCAAGGCAGAGTGTTCCCCAGTGAGGAGAGCCAGAAAGAGGTGAAAGCAAAGCAGAGGGCTGGGGAGAGGAGGACAGAGAGAAAAGAAGGGTGGGAGTGTACCTGAAAGCCAACTTAGTGGCAATGGAGAAGTCCAGGTGGGTCCCTTGAAGTAAGAACCGGGTTTTGGCACCATCTGATAGGTAAAATGTTGGCAGAGAATGAGCGAATGGATGATGAGGCACCGAGGCCCAGCTAAAACTCCATCAAAATAGGGTTTATTAGTAAAGGAACACATGGGAGAGATTCCCTTCTAGGCAGGGAAAATGTCTGCCTGGGTCTTGAGCTGAGGTCGTTTTAAAAGGGAGTCTTCTGCTTCCTGCAGAAGGCGGGAAGATGTATTTTATTTTTCTTAAGCTGGGTTGGGGGGGAGTGGGAGAGCAGGACTGTTAAAGCCTGTCCTCTTAGAGATCAAAGGGGAAGCATGTTGTGTTGGCCAAACAGTGGAGAAAAGTCTGCTTATCTTAACTTCAAAGACCAAGGTGCTTATCAGCTAGGTTCCCTTTTCTCAGGAGCATGAGAAGTCCTTGGGATCCTGTTGGTGAGGGGGCAGGGCTATTGAACCTTAACAGTACTGTCTTATGCTGTGATATTAATGTTAACATCATATCTTGGGCACAAGAATTGGAAAGGCTATGGTTTAATAGTGATGTGTTTGTATGTCGAGTTGACAAGGGGTCAGTTGTGCTGGATAGCTTTATTGTCAACTTGACTCACTTGGGTTGAGGGAGCCTCTATTGGGGAATTGCTTTCATTGTACTGGCCTGTGGTCATGTCCATGGGAAGTTTTGATTGTTGAGTGATGTGGGAGGGCCCAGCCCACTGTGGGTTGTGCCACTCCTGGGCAGGTGGGCCTGTGTTGCATAAGAAAGCAGGCTGAGCAGGGGCCAGGGGAGCAAGCCAGCAAGGAGCATTCCTCCATGGCCTCTGCTTCAGTTCCTGCCTCCAGGTTCCTGCCCTGAGTTCCTACCATGGGCTCCCTGATGAACTGTGACGTGGGAGACGTAAGCTGAATAAACCTTTTCCTCCCCATGTTGGTATTGGTCAGAGTATTTTGTCACAGGAATGCAAAAACAAACAAGGACAAAGTTTAAGTATGCTTCTGTTTGCATTATCTGGGTGCCTAGATCCTTTTTTTATTGGTTACGCCAAGCTGGCTATGTAAACCAGGCTTCAGGTTTTCTCAGGTTTATTTTGGAGGGAACTGATGGCTTCAGATCAGCTGTTCAGGGCTACTCACAGAAGCCCAATTCAGGTTCCAGCCAGGTACATTCAGGCTTCCTTAAGTACATGGAGGCAAGATTCAGGCTCTCTCAGGCAGTTCCACACAGTTGTCAAGCCACCATGTGGAGGCAGGGTCTGGGGGCTTTCAGGCTGTCCCCTGGGTCCTAGGTCCTCTGGTAGTTGGAGGCCAGAGGGAGGCCAGAACCAGGTACTCTCTGGTGGTCTGCTCATCTCTTCAGTTCTAATTTTATTATTTTTAATGCCTTGATTCCTAAAAAAAATAGAATTTCTATTATTTTATTGAAATTGTAAACAAATATTTTATAACTGACAAAAATATGTTGATTTTGGATTGGCTTATTGACAGAGTCATGACTGGACACTTCAAGCAGTAGTCTTTGTAGAAGACTCAAAATTTTAAAAAATTAGCACACAGCACCAAAAATTTGTCTAATTTGATGAAATTTGCATTGGCATGCAGGGTGAAGCAGGATGTTAACCCTAATAGCTGGAATTCAAATCTATCTGTCTAATTATTTTATATAAGGGGATATTTAAGAATAGTCAGCATTCACTTAGATGCTTTATGAGCATCATCTTTAATTACCTGAAAGTGTTACGTTCCTCAGCCTGATGAGTGGCTTCCAAACTTCATGGAGTAGGAAAACAGAAATTAGATTCCCCCAAACACCTGAATCTCTGCCTCAGTTCCTGTAGCACGGGTTTGGAGTCTCAGAACACCATCTATGTGTGAGTAGGTCCTTCAAACTAAACTCTTCCCTAGCCATGTGTGAACATTCCTGGCACCTTCCCATATCCCTGCAGTCCTTAACAACAATCAACCTATTGATGTATTAGTTTAAACTTGTGTGTAGAGAATGCTTTAACAGTAGCCTCTTCCTGGCTATAAAATGAGGCATTCTGGGAGTGTTATAGTCAGCTTCTGTCACTGGGATAAAATACCTGAAAGCACCAATTTATGAAAAGGAATGGTTTTGGTAGGGGATAGGAGGGACAGATGGGACACTTTAATATTTTATATTATAAGGACCCATGTGTACTCTATATTGTATAAAGGAATCTACCCACACTTTATAAATAGCCCAGCATGTACACACTGTTGATGGTTTGCCTATTCTGAGTCATCTCCTCAGCCCAGGTGGTGCCTGGAGGAATACAGGAATGATATCAGCAGACACTAACCAAACTCTGTGTCTGTGGAAGTGTCTGAACCCAGGTGTCCATAGACATGATGAGGGAGAAGTACAGATGCAAGGGGAGCTACATCGACACCACCAATCTCAGAGATGAAGCTGATCCGCTGACCAGCGGGGAAGACTGAGCTTTGGAATGATTGGCTGTGTTTGTAGGGATCCCTATGTGACCTGACGGTTGGAGATAAGACTTGAGGCAGTTTGTTTTACCTGGGGTAACCCCACTGCTTTCCCAGATCACCAGCTCTCTGAATAAGGGACAGCTTAAAGAGTCAATTCCTGTCTCTGCTCGCTGGTGTTTTGGTGACAGGCATCATGAGCTCAGGTATTTGGTTACAGTTTTCATATTTGTCAGTGGTCACTTGGCCCTGTGGTGGCACACGGTGGCATGGAAGGAACATGTGTCAGGGGAGGCCTGTTAGGCCTGCCTATTTCATGACAGTTGAGAATGGAGAGAGAGAAAGAGAGAGGAGAGAGGAGGGAGAGAGAGAGAGAGAGAGAGAGAGAGAGAGAGAGAGAGAGAATGAGAGAATACTTCTGTTGTTAGAATGTCCTTCCATTAACCCCAACTTCTTATTTTTTGGTTGCTAGCTTGAGATGAATGTTATCTGTTGTCCTTCTTTGAGTCATTCCAAGCATACTGACTATGTGGTCTTTCTAACAGGCATTCCTGTTGCTTACATCTGCTGTCTCTTCCCTAGGGTGGATTGCTTATTTGTGAAATTTGTAATGTTTTCATGTTTGATCCTTTTTAAGTTAATTTTGTTTTAATGTGGGTATTTTATCAACGTGGGCTGCATTCTAATAGTTTGACTTGAGTTCTCACTGGCTTGGGATAACTTTTCAAATTTATTTGTCTCCTTTTTTTCTGAAAGAAGATATCACTATGTTACCAAGACTAGTTTTGGAATCCTAGTTTCAAGTGAACCTCGTGCCTCATTCTCCTAAGCAGCAGGTGGGACATACTATCACACCCAGCCCTGCTTGGGAGAAGTTTTCATGAGAATTCATCAATTGTGGGACATACACTTGCCTGCAGTGTCAGCCTGCAGGACACTTTTAAATTAAATGTTTTATTTAATATTCATATATGCATATAATGTGTTTGGATCCAATTCCAACCCATTCCCAGTCTTTCAATTCCTCCCCGTCTCCCCCACAACTTCCCCCTACCAACTTCATTTCCTCTCTCTCTCTTTTCTTTTTTTAAGTTTAATACACACTGAATCTATTGCTATTTTTATGTACGTGGGTGTGGGACCATCTAGAGAAAATGGCTTGCCACTCAAGGTCCACACTTGCAGGGTACTTTTTTGGAAAATCTTTTTTTGGGGGATTTTTTTCTACCTACACACACATATAACTATATTTTACTCTATCGAATATTCCACCCAAGCACCAAACAATATACTTTCTATTCAGTGCCCCATGGAACCTTCTCCAAAATCGACCATATACTGGGGCACAAAACAAGCCTCAGTAAATACAAAGAGATTGAAATAATTCCATGCATTCTATCAGACCACAATGGAATAAAGCTTAAACTCAACACTGGAAGAAACCCTAGTAACCACATGAACACATGGAGATTAAACAACACACTCCTGAATGATGAATGGGTCAATTGAGAGATTAAGAAACAAAAGTATTCCTGGAACAAACTCTCTTTTTAAAGGTATTTTTATTGCTCCTTTTAGAATCATATGATGTATTTTGACCATATTTAGTCCCCCTCCCCCATCTCCACTCCTACCCTATAACCCCCTCCTGGACTTCATGTCCTCTATTATTAGTTTTCTTTTTAAAAGACCTATCAAGTCTTATCTGTCTTCTCCAAATGGTCTTGGGTGTGAATCCATCTCTTGGAGTCTGGTCAACCTGCCTTGGAATCCCACCCCTTAAAAAACCCCTGACACCAAGTAGCTATCAATTGCCAATAGGTCCCCACAGCTAGGGCTGGGACTTCTTGTCCACCACCCCATCCATGCAGGGTTCTATCTGACTTAGGACTGCACAGGTCTTGTGCATGGTGTCACAAGCACTGTCCCATAAACTATTAAGATATAAAGAAAAACTCCTTTTTGTTTATCTGGAACATAGTTAAGTAGTGAATTGGCCAACAAGCCGTATCTGAAAGCTACAAAACCAAACAAAGTGAATATATTAAGCTTGAATATATTAAGGCAAAGGCTTTCTTCCAAGAAGAACTTAGCTACACTTTAATTCATAAACAGTACCAGTAGAATCAAATTTTTATATGACATATAGTTAGAACTTTAAGTTAAGACAACAACCTAAAATCTCAGGTATGTTGAAAATACTTGGCATTACAATTTATTTAGATTTTTTTTCTACCAACAATTGCATGAGTATTTAATTTTTCTTAGGGATGGAAAAATGCATCTATATACAAATATTTTCATATATTGCTGTGGGTTTATGGACTTCTTAAAGCCCTCACAAAGACATCAAGTTAAGATCCTTTCAATTATGTGGTACTTGGGCTACAGTTAAAATAAAATTTTCATATTTTAGTATTCATAGGTATCTGAGGGTGATTTCAGTTAGTAGCACCTTCCTTTCCACCTGGTCTCAAAACAATTTAATGCAGCTTTAAAGAAATAAACAATATCTGGGGTCTGGGGAGATGACTAAGTAGCTGAAGTGCTTGCTGCATAAGCACGAGAACCTGGATTCAGATCCCCAGCACCTGTGTTAAAAGCCAGGCATTGAGGGATGCACCTGAAACTCCAAAGGCAGCAGAGACAAGTTTCTGGGGTGGGGGGCTCACCTGCCAACCAGCCTTGTTGAGTGGGCTAGCTCCAGGTTCAGGGAGAGATTCTGCCTCAAAAAATAGGATGAAGAACAAAGAGGAAGATACCCAGTGTTGACCTATGGCACCTGCATACAAACACACACACACACACACACACACACACACACACACACACACATCACATACAGCAGAAAACCCAAAACAACAAGAAGAAATGCTCAATGTCTAAAAATAAGCTGACTATGCCAAAATAGAGGCTGGAGGCTGTGTACTAACAGGAAGCAAATGATTGTCCTAACCAAACTCCAGGGTTAGTCTGATTTACCGGGTCAGATCCTGGAAATCTAGCCTGATACATCTACCTGTGTGTTCTGCCAGGACACATGTTAAGGAAGGGAGAAAATGTAGACAGACAAGGTGTTTTTATTTCTGTGCATGTTCATGTGGTGTGGATGCACATTTGTGTGCAGGTGTACTGCATGTGTGTGCATGTGCATGTTGATGCCAGAGGACACTTTTGAGTGTTGTTCCTCATGTGATGTCCGCATATATTTTGAGACCAGGTCTCTCATTGTTCTGGAACTTACCAAATAGGCTGGTCTTGCTGGCTAATGAGCCCCAGAGATCTGCTTGTCTCTGCTTTTCCAGTGCTGGGATTATAAGCAGGAGCCACCATGCCTGGATTTTAAAAAATGTGGGTTCTGGGGATTGAGCTCGGGTCCTTGTGCTTGCAAGACAAATCATTTACCGATTGAACTATCTCCTCAACCCTGAAGACAAATTCTTGAAGGGTAAGCACTCTCTGAGAGGAGAGAAGGGAGTCAGGCTAAGATGTACAGAGTTATACTTTCCAAATGTATGTTAGGTAAGCACCTCCAGCCACCCAAAGGTAGAGGGAATGAGACTTGAGAGAAATCTCTCCCCATGGAAACCAAGAAAGCACAAGACAATATCTCTCAGCACACGGACTATACACGACAGGTGCTTAAATGTATGCAAGTGGGAACAGATGGCTTTAAAACGTGCTATGAAAAACCCTCAGCTTGAGTAATTTATGCGTAGATTGCCTCTCTGGAATTGATGCCAGCAGCAGCCCCCTCAACACAGGAGTCTTTTGTGAAGGCTGGTTATGAGGGCTGTTCCTTGATACCACTTGGTCTCCCTGGCAACGTGACTCCACCTCCACTGCTCAGAAGAGGCAGGTATCCCAAATCCATTCTTCTGAGGAGAAATCCTCTATTCTTTCCCTTGGTGTTGTACTCTGTATTCCCACAGGGACATTCCCACATTCTTCAGGAGTCTACAGGACAGAGGGAGCTGATATAAATGACAAGCAGGTCAATCTGTCCACCCTGAGGCAACACTTTTAGAAGACGCTGGTTGAGGTGAATTCATTGTTTAGATCATCCACTCTTATTTACTTCCCAAAACCATCAGTTGCTCTTCTTGATGTTTGGTTTCTACTCTTTCATATCAGGAACACTTGAGCCTTGTCTCTGTGCTTAGGGGTAATTCATTGTCTTGCTCTTTTCTACTCTTAGATTCTTTTCTTGTAATGATTAATCTCATTATGCTCCTAAAAGCTCTAAGTAGCTCATGTCTACCGAGAATCTGTGAAGAGCTGATGTTCTCAGTTCTTAGATACCCCTGATGCAGATGTGTGTGTCTGGAATCTTTAGTTCTTACTTTGCTTGAATTGGAATGAGTGCTTTTTAAAAAAAATATTTTATTTATTATTTTTACTTTATGTGTATGAGTGTATTGCCTGCATATAGATAAGTGCACCTGTATCATGCAATGCCTGCAGAGGACAGAAGAGGCTGTTGGATCCCCTGGAACTGGAGTTACAGATAGTTGTTAGCTGCCATGTGGGTGCTGGGATTCGAACTCAGGTCTTCTGCAAGAACAGCCAGTGTTCTTAACCACTGAGCCATCTCTCCAGCCCATGGAATGAGTGCTTTTGAGGCTAAAAAAAAAACCTGGTTGCCTCTGCCATGATTCAGTGCTTATAACCAGGGACCACACTGTGTGATTTTTGAGTCCCACCCCCTCGCCCTTACTCCTGCTTGTCAGGACCTCTTCTACCCATGATTCAGTAGAAAACAGTGAGTTGTTAATGTTCATACTTGTTTGGTAAGGAGTTTGGCTTTTGTTGGATTCTAAGTTCACTTTTTGGTTTCATGTCTGACAGGCCTTGATTTTTTTTTTTTTTTCAGACTTCTAGCCTGTATCCCCAAGCAAATACAATAAATTCTGCTAAGGGTAATAAATTAAGTGCACTTTTCTGGGGTATTTTTGTGACAGGGTCTTTCTGTAGCCCCACCTGGCCTGGAACTCACTATGTAGATCAGGCTGGCCTTGGTCTTACAGATATCTGCTTGCCTCTGACTCCCAAGTGCTGGGACTAAAGGCGTGTACTACCACGCTTGGCCTTAAGTACATACTTTAAAACATACTTTAGACTAAATTTTTTATCTTACACAACCATGTTGTGTAGAAGAGGAAACAGGCTTAAAAAGAAAACACAGGATCTTGAATTTGAACTCAGA